GAGGGTGGGATCAAGACGCAAGGAGGGAAATCCAGGAAAACACCTGGCGCATCTTCTGCGCGCGTGGAAAGATATTAAGTCGGCGTGACGGGGGGTAGGATATGAGGTGTAACGACATCGCGAGGGTGGAAGGATAAAGTCGGTGGCAAGATGTGGTGCACGATGCGACGCGTACAACGCATCGATCTTCATCCATCAGCCCCACGCCTTCGGCTTCACCCCGACGGAAGATTCCGTTGCGGTTTTTCTCGCCGCGCCAGATGTATCGCGAACACGCAACGGAAAACTTTTCGGCGTTTACGCGCTTTGCGGCAGCCCTTCGATTCCTCGATTCATCATCGCGATATTTCCCAAAGATCCTCTCACGTGCGTCCCGCTCGAACGAACCCAAAGCCCCCGTTCTGTTTCCTGATTTCGATGTCGGGAGGGTAGCGTGGACGACTTTGCCTCCATCATGGATGGTAGGAACCGCAAATCACTGTCTCGACGGCTTGACCAATCGTGACGAATGAGCGACGATGATTCGGCTCGCAATCGAACGCTGGCCCGCTGCGAATCGCTAATGGATCCCCGCCCTCGTTCCCAGACAGGATTCGGGAGTTTGTTTCTCGAAACATTCTCCCCGAATCTTCCCTCGGTTCATCGACAATGACCAAAAGACCAGCGGAATGCAGATGAAACCGTCTGGTTCTTTGGCCGATCGACCAAACAAGGCGGTCGTTCGTTAGACGTTGGTGCCGTTCGTCTCTCCATCGTCAAAAGAACTCGATGAGAACGTCACGGTGTGCATTAAAAATCCACGAATCCAGGGGGACAGACCGACGGGGAAAACCTACGGGAATGTCTCTAAAACGAGCCGAGTTTTAATGTATCGGACGTCGATCTGAAACGCGAACATGGCCGGGGTGTGGGGACCAAAAACTGACGGGGGGTGAGGCGAGGGAAGCCTCCGTCGTTCTCTCCACCGAGAAACGTGGTAGTCAAAGACACCGCTTCGCGCGTTACCAGCAGCGTATCGGAGTCGCGATCTCATTAATTTCCGGGGAGCAATAAAAACGGGCGACGTTGCACACGGGTCCGACGGGCGCGTGGGACCAGACCCGCCCACCAGAGATCGTACCTCGTGGACCGAGGAGAGACAAAGAAGGATATCGGACTAAATCGGCGGTGGACAAAAGGGAGAGAAAGAAGGAGTAGAAAGAAGAGGAGAGAATCGGGAATAAATGCTTTTTGGTATCGGCGGCTGTTGTTTGCCTTCGGTATTTCGTAGCGAGGGGCGACGGACGTTTGCGGAGGCACGGTGTAGGGGCGCGAGAGCATGTCGATCGTGCGTCGATGACGCCCGGGAAGAGGTCGTGCACTGGGAGTCACTCGGTGGCCATTGTGCTCGGCACGTGTCGTCGGAAGAGAAAACGAGCGTGGCCGTCGGTCGAGGCGTAGCCGGGGCCTAGTCACCGAGAAAGCGGCCTCGGCCCGGTTACAATGCCTTCGCTCGATTCCTCTCCTCTCGCTCGCGTCAGATATATGGACGGAATTAATTGATACCGCGTGCTCGGGCATCGAGCAAGGGTTGCGTAAGCACCGTGGAAAAAGCAACCTCTCTTTCTTCGTTTCTTTTATTCCCATTCCCTTCACCCCGACACGAGCTACTCCCTCTCTCTTTCTAGTCCGTTTCCGTGTCGCGCCCGTCGGCTACAAAACGCTTTTAAACGGCCTGCCGTACCTTACGCTTCGTTGATTCCTGATCGTCGATCAAATCGGACTAGGCACGTACCCAGTCGCCCCTCCCTTGTTACGTACATACGTCACGACGCAGGTGCTCAGCGATGAATAATTGCCCGTGGTCTTAATCACAAGCTGAATTCTCTATCGAGAAGCAGCATCACCGAGAATAGATGGAAGTTTGGATTCTGGAAGGTGTCTAGGGACGACGCGACGCGAAAAGAACGTCTGCTTTCGGACGTGGAGCCCGGTGTGTGTGTGTCGGCCAAGTCTCGGAGGAAAGTTATTATAAAAATAATCAAAGTTTCCTGAAGCAGCACGAGAGGCGAGTACGGCTCGCGGTGGAGAATCGGTTCCACGGTCCCGGCCTCGTTTACGTCGGGCGCGACGCCCAGTCTCTCATTACGTTTGACGATTATGCGTTAATTTGCAGCTAGCGATACTTCAAACGATTTTTATTCATTGCGCGCGGCGAGGACGAGCTTTGCCCTTCTAACTGGAAGTCGTCTGTCGTTTCTGGTAGCACCGTCGGTGCCCGGAGACGTGGGCGCCGAGATTCTTCGAGTTTTATATTTTTCGAGTCCTCCGCTGGGGGATCGAGGATGCCTCGTCAAAGGATCCTCCGGATATGATAATCCCGACGCCAAGCTGAATGCGTAATGAAGTTTCTCCGGCGACAAGAAGTGGACTCGGCTTCTGATTAGCTTTGCCTTTACGCGTACCCTCGGCCTAAAGCGGCTCCGTCGTTGCGTTCAACAATTTTTTCCCAGCGACCTCGTAAATTGCTTTCCGCGAACCCGTCCGACAGAACAGTGGGCGAGACATATTTTTCTTCGTTTCTTATCCTTCCAACTCGAGTGTCGCGGTTCGAATATTCTATCGAGGTGTCACCCCCATCCGAGCACGAGCGAATCGCAAATCGTCGAAAAAAAAAAAAAACGGGAATATTCACCACGATCGGTGGAATCGGAGGCGATAATCCTCCTCCATTAGCCTCGACGCGTAAAAACCCAACAGATTGGAAACCGCATTCGGTTAGACGGCTACCTTTTATCCAACCGGAGAGGGACAGAGGATCTTCTCTCTTTCCATTCGTATTAACGCGTCCCCGATCCAACGGAGCAGCCCTATTAACTAATGCCAGCACCCCCTGTTCAACGCAATGCCATACGTGCACCAGCCAACCGGCGAACCAGCGAATCAGCCGACCATCCAGTCAGTCAGCCAGCCAGGGTGCGGAGGACCAGGCTTGCTGGTAGGACATTGCCTGCTACGCCGGGACAGTTTAAGCCCTGATATATCGCTCGCCGACACTCCCAACTTCTGTCGCCGTTTCTGTATCGCTTTTTTGTCACGGCAAGCCACGGTTGACCATATGTCCACGGAAACCGAGATCCCCATCGAGTATCTGTGACTCTGCCACGCGCACCCTGTCGATACTACTTCTGTTCCGTCCATCCATTTGTTTCATTTCTCTTTTTTTCGTGTTTGTCAATTGTTTCGAATTTACATATTTACATTGTTACGTATAAATCGATGATCGTTAGAACGCGTCAGTCCTTTTTTTCCTATAGCTTCTGAATGTTGCTTTACGATAATTCAGGAAACTCGCAATAAAGAATTTCGAGACTTTTCGACCGTTTCGGTCAACCCTTCGATTTGGTCGTAGCGTCAGGACACCCTGGGCGGCAGGACATTTACATGCTTCATTGATTCCTCGTTCCTTTGCGTCGTTTGGTTTTCCGGCTACGTGGGCGCGTTAAAGCGAGCTTAGATAACCCATGCCCCGACAGGCGGACCCCACTTTGCACGTAACAAATGATGCCACATGTTCGAATCTTGACTCGCTCGCTCACCGTCCCTCTGTCTCCACCGCCTCTCGGTTCGCCGTATAACCCGCGGGGCACCGAGCATTCTGCGCCTGATATTCGGGGGATATGGGGTCCTAGGCTCGTGTAATTTGTACGGTTAACGCTTGTGCAAAAACGAGAGACAGGCCAAGGGAGAGAGAGAAAACAGAAGCGGGGAGAGATCGACGGGAAGGAGGTCGACAATTTACACGGGACTAACTGCCGCGCTGGGAGCATTTACCAAAAGCACGGATCGAATCGATCCTACTTACTTAGCCGTTAATAGAACCGTATGTCGGTTGTCGTTGAAAAGTTTCGTTCGAATTTTCGTTTAAGAGCGAACGAGCATATTAATCGTGGACCTCCCAGGGTTGATGTAAGGGACCGCAAAAGGTGTCATTTTGTGATTAAAGTGAGACGTCGGATACCCGTGAGATCGAGATACTTTTACATTTTCAGGGGAGATTAGTTGACACGATACATCTTCTGGTAACCAGGTTGGTTGACCGGCCTGTCCGGGGAGAAAGAAAATATTCAAATACTCGAAAAAAGAAAATTCCTCGACGAACACCTCTCGGTCCGCTCGAGACACCGTAACCGACGTCGACGGATGAGCAGCATTCAGGAGAACAAACGCGATCGTGTACGATCGGCCGGGTTTCCCCTCCGATTCTTTTCCCGGTCTTTTCATCTCATTGTCGACGGTAGTCCAAGTGCCACTGGGTTGCAGGTAAGTGGCCGTCATCGCGCCTTGCTCAAAAAGACTAACCGATTGCCGCCTCTTTATCAACCACTTTACGAACAAGCTTGAAAAATCTGTCCGGGTGCCCGTTCTTCCGACACACGTTCCACTTGTACCTACCGCTCATTGTGATTAATTCCGACGCATGTCCGCATCGGTTACAAAGACTGCCGAAACCATTTGGTTCTTTCTCGAGTTTGAAGAGTCCTCGGGATCGACCCGCTGTCCTGGAGAAACGTTTAAAAAATTTCGTTACCGCGTTAATTTGCGATTTTTCGGAACTGACAGGCGGGTAGTTTTAATTACATTTCGAACGTTCGTGGTCGTTGTACATCGATGGAGAGGAACGAATATAAGAATCGCTTGAAAGTTACGCTTCGGCTTGTAGATTCGACGTTCTATACGGCAGACACCGATCTTCTATCTATCCAACCGTTAAATTATTGTTAGTCGTATTAATCGGCCGGAGGACTGGTCTTCCACGAAAAACAATCGACAAACGGATGTCGCCAATTCTTTTCGCGAAGCAGACAGACCGGGTATAATATAATGCGTATACGTTTATGAATATTTATTTAACGTTCAACGGCGCCAACTGCGGGTCTCTTGGAACGTGATTTTTGTTGTATACGTGCAATTACGTTTCGCGTATTCGTTTCACCGTTACACGTAATTTACGATCTTACCTCGACGAGCGACGTTGATTCTTCATCATCTCGAACCAAGGAGAAAGATCCACAGTCGCTTATTTCTGTAATAAAAAAAAAAAAAAAAACAGTACTTTCATGTGCAAATCTCGAGTGAAATTCGCATAAAGTATTTCGCAAACGAACCACGCGGATAAAATTCATAACATCATCACGGCTCGATGCTCTCTTTTTCTGTCTCTATTTCTGTTTTAGCAAAGAAAAAGCAATCTCGACGTATTTATTGCCAATCGTTAGGTACAGCTACGTAATGACCGAGCGAACAATTCCATTATATTTGTCAGGTAATGAAAAGACAACGAGGAGATCGTAATATCCTGTGACTGTCGGACGAATCTGTGGAAAGAAGGAAGAAGAGTGAGAGAAAAAGAGGTCTTCTAGGATAAAGAACCTAACATGTCGTGTTCCGTCTCTCTCCCCCTGTCATTAATACCAGGCGACTGTTACATATGGATGAGAAAGCTGGGTTAGGCTAGGACAGCGATGCTACAGAACGAGACGAAAGCGAAACGGGATGCAGGGAAGCGAAACTCATCGACTAAAAGCATCCGCGAAAGACCAAACCGTCGTCGTTCCGCTCTCGTCTGAAATCTCGTCGCCCTCTTCGAGGTCCACGAGTCAGCGTAGAAGAGAGTCCTCTCGCCAAAGGGCGGAGACTTCGATAAGCTTCGTCGGGGATAAAACGAGCCCCCACCCATCCAACGAGTTTACCTACGATTTAAATTGTCTGCTCGCAGCCAACCTCGATTTCACGGGATCCTCGAGTTTACACTGGATTCCTTTTTCCCAATGCCTCTGCTTATTTCTGCTTCTCATCGACGACAAGTTCGATGAAAAGCCACGGGTCGAGTTAAACGAATTTTTTGCTATCGTTAAAACATCCAACTCTAACCTCTTGAAAGAATTCGCACAGACGATTCGAGGTATGTTTGTCGGTTTTCAGGAATTAATCGCGGCCGAAGGTTGACGTGGCCACACACTTTCCTCCGATCTATCCTGACCACAGGAACGATAAATCTGGGCCTTCGCCCCGTATATCTTTCGGTCAGAAAGGGGAGTAAACGCAATATAGGTAATGTTCCGGCCGGTTACTTAACAAATTGCTACAAATTGCGGCGAGCGTTTAGCGTCGTATCCGTTCGTATCACTGCGGTCCTTCCATATACCTACCCCCGTCACCTCTCTTGTGGTCTCTTTGCCAGGGGGGAGGGGGCGTTCGACTCTCCGTATTCCGTGGTGACCACATGGTGCTCCCATATGTCCGCGCCATCACCCTCTAATGTCCGCCCACGGATTTCACGATTCCCGGCAACCCTGTCCAGAAGATGGAATTGCCGGTGGAGGGAAATGAAAAGGACGCGGCGCGACAGGTTTCTCGCCGGTAAACTCCGACGGTAGGGGATCCTCTCCCTTTGACCACGGAACGATATTTATTTCGGCATTGGTGTTTACCGAGGCGTTAATCCGATTAACTCTGCACGGGGATTGCTTGAACGGAATCGAGAGAGTAACGCCCGGAGGCGCAGAAAACAACTGAATTTCGTCAAGTCAATCTTTGAGGATAGCGTCTTATTAAAAAATTGTTGCAGCAGGGGCAGGATCGCTCGATCGTGGACACGTCATTAATCAATGCTTTCGAATAGGAGAACGAGATCCTTTAATGGCAGTTTAAAGGCGATACCCTCGAGCCAATCAGTGATCGCGTGCCGTGCGCGCTCACGGATCGTCCGGGTTAATTTCACGGGTATTTAACGCGGATTCGTTTAACAATGATTCAATCAAGTCGGATTTATTTGGCCGGGATTCGGCGGTTAGTCGGCACGAGGCGGTCATTAGGGACCTCTCGTCGGAAACGCCTCTCAGGCCTTTTGCTGGAATAAATGCGCGGCCATCCGGATGTATCGTCGGGCGACGTTTCTCGTTAACCGGTCTGTCGCTTCCAGACAAACGTCGCCCGACTGACGTCTCTCTGTTCGTTCGATTTAAAGTCATCTTCTCTGATCGCAAATATTATCCAGATTGGTGTGTCGACACAATTCTGGTTGTGGACACCTGGATCACGGTGCGTCTTATTTCACGTCGATGCAAAACTGGGCCTCGTTTAAGGAACGAGACGTGAACGACGACGACGAAATGGGTGAGCGCGATTAGAACGACGCCGTCGAGTTCGTCCGGCGTAAATATCGGTGAACCCCCGGATGATGCCTTCTGTCCAGGAAGGGGGACTGGATCGGCAATTCGACGCCCGCGCGAAATGTTGTCAGCCAATTTTCTTGGCCAGTGCCTCTGAATGCCGCAGATTTCCATCTAGGTCCGTCCTCGGTGGCGCCGGTGTATTCCGTTGCTGGGTAAATACACCCTTTTCCATCCCCTCGAGCGGACGAGCAGCGTCGTCGTAGCCGTCATCCTCCTCCTCGTCCTCTATCGTCCACCTCCATCCCACCCCTTCCCCACCTTCCCTCCCGCATGAACCACAACTGTGATTATAATTCGTAGTCCCTGCTGACAGAACCAACCACCATCGTCAACCCCGTTTCTCCTACGTTGTTCCGTCCCCATCTCTACCTCGGTACGTTAGCGGACGGGGATCGGACGCTGTGTAAAGGATTATGCACGCGGATTTAACTGATGAATCACATTGTCGTCTTGATTCGCGGTGGCGTTAATTTTCGGTTCTGCACCCCCTCACTCTGCCCCCTACACCCACCAGGAGCCGATTTAGCCCTTGGTCGACGCGCGTCTCTACACACGCGTGAACAGAAAAAAAGAAGAGTAACAGAAAAAAAAAAGGGAGAGAGACAGGCATCGGGAGACGGCGTGTTAGAAGCGGAAAAAAAATGTAGTCGAAAGATTCGACGCGTTCGCACGACGCGTTCGGAGGACGATAAATTTTAGCGAAGATTCACAGTCGTATTCGCGATCTCGGTCGGCTAATAGAATCGCCGACCGTGTTCGTTATAATTGTTTCGTGTAATCTAACGACGCTGGGAAGATCGCTCGTAAACTAACACGTGGATACACGGCTATATATATATATATATTTCCTTTTTTTTCCCGTACAGAGGCCGGGGCAAAAAGGCACTCGGATCTAACGAGAACAAGCGAATACGTTACACGGGGGATAGAACGGCGATAAATCAGATGGAACGACAAATTACCGGTGGCAATTAATCGACGAACCTTCCCCGATGCTTATTTGGAGAACTCGTCCCCGCTGAATGCGTCGTAATGAGTATTCGAGATTACGGCAATCGAATTCATCGGGGCAGCCTGCAATAATTTATGACCGATGCTTCTTTAGGATACGGATCGCGGTGAGTTTGCGGCGAGCACGGCCACCCATCCCCCTCCTCTCCCTTTCCCCTCTAGCCATGGCGCTATTCTCGTCGAGCAAACAATTTCCATTCGTTTGGAAAGGTTTCTAATCCGCCAACATCGGGCCCCGTGAGCAAAGCCAGAATTAACCGCTTCCCATTTCGATCTACCGCACGAGAGCGATAGAAAGAGAGAGGAAGAGAGATCTCGGGGGCTTATTAATTTTGCCAATAACGACGGTAGGGTGCCTCCTCCGCACAGATGGCGTATCACGAGTCAATATACTTTTCCGCCACGAAACCGCCCCTCGGAACACGTGACGGCCGACGAATTTTCGCTACGCTAATCATTCCTTTGACCCGTGCCTCTCGCATATGGTTCCGCGACCAGTTACACTCTTCCATCGATCCCGTTGATATACGATTTTATCGAAACGAAACAGCGCGCGGATATTCGCCGTAATCCACCGGACTCGTACAGAATCCTGCTACCGTTCGTGCACGGTAAAAATCAGAAGCTACGTAAAACACAGAAAAAAAAAGAAGGGAGAGAAAAAAAAAACAAGAAAAAATAGGCGCTTCGCGTCGAATTCCAGATTTCCCAGGTTTTATCCCGGGGGCTCCTCGAAATCTATATTTCACGGAGATCTCACGGACAGTCGTCGCACCTATTTATGCGACGTCAAGTATACTCGACTTCTCGCGAGCAAACGCGTAAGAGCGAGAGAAGTCGTGGGTACACGACGACGAGGAGGAAGACGAAGAAAACCAGAGCGAAGAAGGCAGTGCGGTGGAGGGAAGAGGGAGGGTGGGAGGGCAGAACCGATGGTTCTGCCACAGTCAGGACACGATCGCGGAGCATGGACCCAAGGAGAGAGAGAGCGGAATAAAGTAAGTCGACGATGGGTGTGTGCACGGTCGCGTACATACCGAGTGGAACGAGACGGACGCGAAGGAGAGACCAGAGATGGATCGAGAGGGAAAAGCAGGATGAAGGTGTGGTGGAGAGAAGCGAAGAGAAGGAAAGAGAAAAAGAGAGAGAGAGATAGATGGATGAGAAACGTTAGAGGGAGATGGAGATAGGGCGAAAGAGGGAGAGAGGGAGAGAGAGGGCGGTTGGACTGGCTTCGAGAGGAAGACGAGGAGAGAGAAAGGAGAGGACAACCCCCTCTTCTTCGCGGGTTGACTCGAACGCCGGCGATATCTCGACCAATCAAATCACGCCGCGGGCTCCGCCTTTTATCATTATTTTACTTGTTTTCCCTTTACTTCACCCTCATTGGATGACATTCTCTGGGCCATTTCGCGGTGCAAAAAAGATACCCGCGCCCAGCCGGAGGACTCCATGCTTCCCGCAGCGTCCTTCGGTACCCTTCTGGTACCCACCTTGGTTCCACGGACCACCTCCACGGAGATTCGTACGCTCCTCACCGCGCGAGGAGAGTGTCCGTCCTCCCTTCGTCGATCGAATGCTTTTCCGGGGATTTTCACGGGAGACTTTGATTTTTCTCGAGGCGTTCCGCGATTCGTTCGAAGAACGCGTTAGTCGTAAAAATCTGCTCGTGGACCATCCTCGAAGGTGTTTACTCGATAGGGTGAAAAAGAATCTCCGTTGTTCTCCCGTCAAGGGAAAGATTTTTCAGACAAAAAATTTCATATCGATGCTCGAACCGCACCCATAATTTTTCGACGATCCTCTGACACAACGAACTTTCCGGCGAGGATCTGTT